TCCTCACACCCTGTGCCAGTGCCTTATATTGAATAGTAACTTGTTACTCTTCAATCACGTGAAAATGTTTATTATGATTTCCATGGTTATTAATGATCCTGTTGGAACCAGTATTCTTCTTATATATTTCAGATTCGGAAGATAATGGATTTGCATTTCAAATATTCTATATCATTCTTTTAAACTAACTTCACAAACATTGCTCTATCACTAGAGGTTGCTTAACCGCAATGTTACAACCTAAAATTCCTAATCTCTACTGATATTAATGTAATGGCCAAACTTATAACACAATATAAATAAAGATTTATAATTACCCACTGTGAAACAAGACTAAGTTATAATACTTGTTTTGATGTAAGTTAATTAAATTTTTATTAGAGTGACGGGTGTTGTAAACAACAATAAAAGCACACCTGGTCACTCTACTTACGACAAAATTGATCTTGATTTTTTGTGAAACGGAATCCAGCTGATCAAATCACACCAGTTTATAAAACCTAGTAATTCTGAAAGTAGGAATAGCGACGAGGTATAGCGTTAATGTAGGAATTTAAGGTTGTAATATTGCGGTTAAGCACAGGCACAGGCATGTAGGCGTAACCTCTAGTGATAGAGCAATGTTTGTAGGGTTATCGATAGAGTAGAAACTATAAGAGAGGTGAGGTACGAGAATGGACATGGTTCGGATTTCGGACTCTATTCCATTTTCTGAAATGATAATCTGGCACAGTACACCGTACCTCACATATTGGTGTCTCCTAATTTGTATTGTACTAGTCATCTGCGTAGAAGACGGGGAGGGGGGTGTAGCTGTACATCGTACTAGATAACATACCTCGTCGATTTGTAGCCTAAGTTAACAGAAAAATGTTATAATGCCTCTGCCTCTCACAACTAAACGACCCCTTTATTCATGTTAGTTCGAACGATGCAGTTCTAAGACACATAACTGGCTATGCTATGATTTGAACCAAGAGAACTATTCGCTATTTTCCCGTTCCCGTATTATTATTTTTTGTTTGTTTATTCGAGGCAGTGACAGTGGCATTTCTAGCAAACATCAGGTGAGGGGGTCGAGCTGGGGCCACAAACTTTTCCCCAGTGGACACGCCACTGGGAAGGAAAGGCTTAACATTTCCATAATAAAGCCCGCTCCCCAATCCCTCTAATTTGTATATGACTAAAATATTGTTTACAAAAGAAATAATGTCAAACTAAGGATGGAACTGTTACTTCATTAACAAATTAGATTAGAACTTTTCGCTTACTTCTTGTGATTTATACCATGCAGTATATAACGCTACTGAAGTATCAAGATAAATTACAAAATAAATTTACCATATCTTGTAAGTTTTTAAACTACATTGTTGAGGTAATGAATTGACTCTATAATTGTTAAGCGATGTATAATTATGTAAGTTATGTGAAGAATATATTATCACGTTTCACAAAGTAATTATCAGCCAATTTTTTGTAATTTGAAAGAAAATTTTAGAGATAGTATCTGTTTCCATGGTAAAGAAAATACTGTTGAAATCATCATTAATATTATATTCATAAGGGTCTCATGGATATTGTGTGTCAGCCCATGAACGAATTCATTTTCTCAAGAAATATGTATATACGAAACCTATAATGCGCTGATTTGAAAATATTAACGACCACTGGTGTCCAACAATATATTGTTACAATGCAAATCAACTTTACAATCAGTCACCTCTGCTTGTCAAACTTCAATAGAGACACAGTCTAAAATAGATCAGTTATCTGAAGATCTCTATTTGTCAAACTTCAGTAGGGGCACAGGCTAGAATAATTCAGTTGCCTGAATATCTCTACTTGTCAAACTTCAGTAGGGGCACAGGCTAGAATAATTCAGTTGCCTGAATATCTCTACTTGTCAAACTTAAGTAGGGGCACAGGCTAGAATAATTCAGTTGTCTGAATATCTCTACTTGTCAAACTTCAGTTGGGGCACAGGCTAGAATAATTCAGTTGCCTGAATATCTCTACTTGTCAAACTTCAGTAGGGGCACAGGCTAGAATAATTCAGTTGCCTGAATATCTCTACTTGTCAAACTTCAGTAGGGGCACAGGCTAGAATAATTCAGTTGTATGAATATCTCTACTTGTCAAACTTCAGTAGGGGCACAGGCTAGAATAATTCAGTTGCCTGAATATCTCTACTTGTCAAACTTCAGTAGGGGCACAGGCTGGAATAATTCAGTTGTATGAATATCTCTACTTGTCAAACTTCAGTAGGGGCACAGGCTAGAATAATTCAGTTGTCTGAATATCTCTACTTGTCAAACTTCAGTAGGGGCACAGGCTAGAATAATTCAGTTGTCTGAAGATCTCTACTTGTCAAACTTCAGTAGGGGCACAGGCTAGAATAATTCAGTTGTCTGAATATCTCTACTTGTCAAACTTCAGTAGGGGCACAGGTTAGAATAATTCAGTTGTCTGAATATCTTTACTTGTCAAACTTCAGCAGGGGCACAGGTTAGAATAATTCAGTTGTCTGAATATCTCTACTTGTCAAACTTCAGTAGGGGCACAGGCTATAATATTTCAGTTGTCTGAATATCTCTATTTGTCAAACTTCAATAGGGGCACAGGCTAGAATAATTCAGTTGTCTGAATATTTCTACTTGTCAAACTTCAGTATGGGCACAGGTTAAAATAATTCAGTTGTCTGAATATCTCTACTTGTCAAACTCCAGTAAGAACATAAATTAGTACAGTTATCTAAAGATCAATACTTGTGAAAGTCAGGTATAGTCTAAAAGAAACTACATGTAAAAGACATATCGTCTAGTAGGGATACAGGTTACAGAGGCTGAAATAGTCTAGAAGTCTAAAGATTTCCCAGCTTGAAACTAAGTAACAGTACAGGTGAAGAGTGAACAACAATGTAATTAAGGTTTTGTTCTAATATAACAATTATAGTTAGTACAACTGTCTGGTTTATTTGAAACGGTAATTAATCAGAAGTCGTTAATAGCCAGACATCAAAGACTGTTATTTAATTAGACACTGATTTATCGCCAGTTGTCCAGTAAAAATGTAATTAAAATATAAGATAAGATAATTTCAACTAGTGTGACGGTGTTACAAGAAGTGTCTCAACTACCAAACGGACTGGTTGAACCGAGTCTACGGGCCGCCATCCTCTAGGAGGGGCATTGAGGGCCCATCCCCAGACAAATATGCAGAGTAGCACATGTGTTAACAAATATATTCCCGGGAAAGGGGGCCCGACCCACTTAAGTCCACGAGCCCCCACTCATCTGGTTGAGCCGCTGATCACAAGCATTGTGGGACTGTTTACATAAGTGATGATTGAACCAAACATTGGTAGATTTAAATTTAATCCAACTTTTTTACTCCTTGTACCTCTTATTATTGCCCAACCAAAATGTTTACATCAGGCGGTGAAATACCCTGAATTGAGAACTTTGGATGGTCGATTGCAGAATAGAAGTGAAATACCTTTGTTAAATGAGCGACTTTCTTTCAAATCGGTGTAAGTGTTACCATCTTAATCCACAGCAGTCTCAGTGGCGTATTGTACGGGAGGTGTTGATGGGGGTTGGGGTGGTCGGGATAGAGGGTCAGAAAAGATGCTGGCCCGGCTTTGCCCACCCCACTTTTAAATTCGTTTATCAATTTACAAATTGAAACATTTTGTGACCCCAGCTCGGCACCCAAAACTAATGTTTCTTAGAAACGCCACTGAGTAATCTGTTAATTCTCTATGGTTAAAACAACCTGGATTCGTCTTGACATTGACAGTGGGGCGTAGGTCTGAGAGAATGACATAGTCTAATTCCTGTGGCATTTGAACTAAATGAGAAATAAGCAAATGTCACAGTTCTGGCAAATTTCCTCTTTGAATATGGCGTTTCCGGTCATTAATAGCCCAGACTAGAGCAGAGTAGTAGGACATTGCCTTCCATTCCTATTATCATTATTTCTGACGTCAGCAGTCTTGTCTTTGTCTTTTAAGTCAAAAGCCAACCTATCAAGAACCTAGGGTACACTTTTTCAACTCAACAAATTAACCGCCTTTACCACCTCAATTGCGCCACAATAAGTACATGTTTTGTTAAATTTAAGGATAGTAGATTTTCATACTAGGGAACGGAACTACTCTTCATCCTTGATATTTTTCCATGTATTTCTAACTCTATTCGTATCCAGTATCTTCTGAAAAAGGAAGTGACACCGAGTAATTTCATGTCAAGTTTGGATTTAAAACTCGCCAATTTTTCCACATTTTTGAGTTTAACTCGATTAAAATATTGACTCCGGTCGCTTAAAAACACACAGGTTTCTTATATTGCAATAATGCGTGATTTATTTCATTCCAGAGTTATCGTGAAGCTGATTTATCAAGTTAATTTTCTACAAGAAGGCAGAGCCAGAAAACTAGAAAACGTGACATCAGTATTGTTTTCAACTTGAGAGAAGACTTATTCTATGTAACAAATGTACCAATTAACAATGGTTTAGAGCTGTGTAGGGATTACTTCTTGTGTATTTCTAACAAAACAAAAACCTCGTTAAATTGGAAATAAATCATTATTAAGGATTATTAATTAAAAGCTGGCTTTTAAGAAAGACATTAACGTAAAGTTTTCATAAACCTATAAAACGCGCAGAAAAGAACTCGAAGGCATTCGTTCTAGTGTTCACATGACGATCATACAGTCGGTGGGTTTGTGGAGAGTATTGATATATAAACGGTGTACAGGCACTGTGAAGAAGTTTATAGTATTAATATAAAAGCAACAGTGTAGAAACCAATATCCAATACAAAACGGTGGCAGTTCTTACTTGATGTATGTAATATTACGAAACTTATACAGATTGCAGAAAATGTGCTAACAAATAATCGATGTGAACGCTAACAAGTGATGTATAAAAGTAATATTGAAAGTGATAATTATGTGAACGTTACAAAATTCTCGGTGGTACACTGTAGTTATTTTATGATGGCCGAGAACCAGACTGATATCAGATGTAATGATAGTTTACTAAATGTGACGCCATGTAATACATTCCCGTCCCTGCCTCGGGAATTAACTTTTAACGATGACAGTCTAGTGTCAGTGATAACGTGCTCCTGTTTATTTATCATCGCAGCGTGTGGGAATTTAACTGTTTTCATCACACTATTTCGCAACAGGAACATAAAATCTCGGGTGAACCTCTTCATAATGCACCTGTCGATTGCGGATTTAATTGTAACGTTTGTGATGCTACCTCTTGAAGCAGCCTGGCACCTTACAGTAGCCTGGAAGGGAGGGGACATGGCCTGTAGAGCTATGATGTTTTTCCGTGCCTTTGGATTCTATTTATCGTCATTCATTTTAGTGACTATCAGTCTTGACAGATATTTCGCCATCATGCATCCGCTAAGTTTAAACGATGCTGATAGACGTGGACGGATTATGTTATCATTAGCTTGGATATGTAGTATAGTTGCCAGCATTCCTCAGGTAAGCTTTAGCATTTTCATTATCCCCCTCCCCTCGCCTCCCAAATAAATGCAATCTTGCTTTTGGGGATTTTTCTTTTAAAAGTACATGCCAAGTAAACTGCAATAAATCTTTTCCCAAGACTTTATTCCGAAAATCCATTAGACATGTTCTTTAGATCATTTCATTAGGGATTTTTTTCCACAGCTTTTCAGCTCATCTATTAGACTTCTTTTTTCATTTTATCATCATGTTCTAGCTTCATGACATCTGATTATTTTGTTATCAATTTGCTATTGCTGGTATAAATTTGTGTCGATAAATTTCTGTTTGACATGTTCATGACAACGATGTTCTAGAATGAATATATTCCCACGATACCCTCGTCAGAGCGACTATGTTCCAGCCATAGCAACAATGTTCCTGTCATAGCAACAGTGTTCCTGTCATAGCAACAATGTTCCAGTCATAGCAGCAATGTTCTGTCATAGCAACAATGTTCCTGTCATAGCAACAATGTTCCAGTCATAGCAACAATGTTCCTGTCATAGCAACAATGTTCCTGTCATAGCCACAATGTTCCAGTCATAGCAACAATGTTCAAGTCATAGCAACAATGTTCCTGTCATAGAAACAATGTTCCTGTCATAGCAACAATGTTCCTGTCATAGCCACAATGTTCAAGTCATGGCAACAATGTTCCTGTCATAGAAACAATGTTCCTGTCATAGCAACAATGTTCCAGTCATAGCAACAATGTTCCTGTCATGGCAACAATGTTCCTGTCATGGCAACAATGTTCCAGTCATAGCAACAATGTTCCTGTCATAGCAACAATGTTCCTGTCATAGCCACAATGTTCCTGTCATAGCCACGATGTTCCAGTCATAGCAACAATGTTCCTGTCATAGCAACAATGTTCCTGTCATAGCAACAATGTTCCTGTCATAGCCACGATGTTCTAGTCATAGCAACAATGTTCCTGTTATAGCAACAATGTTCCTGTCATAGCAACAATGTTCCAGTCATAGCAACAATGTTCCTGTTATAGCAACAATGTTCCTGTCATAGCAACAATGTTCCTGTTATAGCAACAATGTTCCTGTCATAGCCACTATATTCTAGTTGTTGTTCTTGTTGTGGTAACAAAGTTCTAGCCATGACAAGGATGATTTGGTCATAACAAGACAAAGTGGTATTTAATGATATCCCGAGGCATAGTTTAAAAGTAGAGCAGAATGTTTTCTTCTTAAACTACTAAAAGCATCCAGTCTTCATTATTGTCACGTATATCTCGGCGAGAAATCAGGCGAAACATAATGACACAGAAGTAGGCTGTGATCAACATTTTTCCCGCAAACAACAAACATTATATTATGTTTTGAGCAATTTTTGTGATAATTTTATCACGGTTTTCACATGTGTTCACGATTTTGTCAATTCTTTTATTGATCTAGTTAAAACAGTTCCATCAAATTAAGCAATACAAGAAATATTATGTTATATCTTGTCCAGTGCTTCCCAACCTTTTTTAGCCTTCACATCCCTGGAGCAATCACCTTGACCTTTCACACCACAAAAAATTTGTTTCATCCACATTTCCAGCATTCGATGATGAAAGGCGCTTTCTCAGTTAAAAATAAATTCTTCTCCTACACCAGTTGGCCACACCCCTGACACACTAGTCCCACACTCCTAGGGGGTGAAAACACCCCAGGTTGGTAACCGGGGATCTAGTCTGAACAAATATGAACTCAAATTTTCTTGCGACTCAAGCATCTCGAATTACATTATTAAAGGAATTGTAAAGATGTTTTCTAAACCTTTTGTGTGTATCGGGGACATTTATAGCTTCAA